CTCTCTTCGTCGGCTGAGATCAAGGCCAATCGGTTCCCGAAAGATTCTTGCAAAACCATCTCAATTTCAGACGTATCCTCCCAAGACGTATCCGCCAAAGACGTATCCGCCAAAGACGTATTCGCCAAAGACGTATTCGCCAAAGACGTATTCGCCAAAGACGTATTCGCCAAAGACGTATTCGCCAAAGACGTATTCGCCAAAGACGTATTCGCCAAAGACGTATTCGCCAAAGACGTATTCGCCAAAGACGTATTCGCGTGCTCTAGGTGCTTTTTTAGAACTTCTGCAAGCTTGCGTTCCACACACTCTGAAGCCTTCACTCGATCCTTCGAATACCAAGGTGCGTACTCCACATGAAGGCGATTCCAACGGTTCACCCAGTCGTAATCTTTAAGTGATGATGACCAGCACTCAACCTCTGGCATTAATACTAGAACTTCAGCCGTCTTATCACCATAAGATATGGAGGCCATCTTCGCAATACAACCGTCGAGCGATGATAACCCTCCTTCAGGATCAAGAAATGCCGCCAGGGATGCATACCCTTTAACATCGATCAAGCTCAGACTTCCAGCGGACTTCATGCGAATTTCATTCTTGTTTAAAAACACCTGGCCAACTCCCTTGTGAAGAACATCATCGCATTGGAAACCCTCATTCAAGCAAGGCTCAGTATGGGGTCAATGACCGGGGACACGGAACGCTCCCTCATTCACATCCATTGCTTGTTTACTCTTTTGAGGAGTTTTTTTAGAGGATGTCACGGGCAAAGGATCAGGGTAAAGGACCATGGGTCGTGCAGCATTGGGTCAGGCGATAATCAACATGAACCAGGAGAGAGAGAGGGCGTGACAATTCTATCGGTTATAGGAGCGGTGACCGTGACTAGCCAGTCCTGGAGTTTGGCACTGGACGGAAGTTGATCTGAACGATCCGGACAAAGGTGTGGTTCGATTCGCAACACGCCGGACGAAGGAATGTTCGCAACACGCCGGACGAAGGAATGTTCGCAACACGCCGGACGAAGGAATGTTCGCAACACGCCGGACGAAGGCCGGACGATATTTGCTTTAGAGTCGACAGGAGAGAAAACGGATTGCACACACAAGACTACTTGGACGGCAACAGGGGTGTGTGTGTGCAACAGGGGTGTGTGTGTGCAACAGGGTATGAAGTTTGGTGGCTGTATCATTTATTGGTTCGATATTTGGCTATTGTCGGTTATTCTGCTATTATCGGTTGCACATTTATTAAATGTGTTCTTGCTAGGGAAAAATGTGTCATACGTGCACTGATGTACTTTCAACCGAGCGTATTCGAATCTGGCAACTCGAGCTTTTCGCTTAAGAAGCTTCTTGGATTGGATGGTGGGTACAATTGGAGGGATAGACTAATGGATTCTGACGTTATCGTGGCGCCAGAGGAACAAAGGATGAATGTTAACGCACCACATATGTGTTCTCAATCACCGGTGCCTTGGATCTATGTTCACAATAAAGCGAACATAGTGTTGGGTCCGGTCATTGGATTGGTGACACACGATTCTGTGCGTTTCCTTGTGGAGAGTGATCAGACCAGCAAAGTCAATTTCACTTTGGTAGGTCGCGACCGTCTTGGACGACGTTATCATAGGGCTGAGGTCTCTGCTCAGCTTGAGAGCCACATGCCCAAGTCAATTTACGTTGACGGTTTGCGATCCAATTACAAATATACTGTGCAATGCGATCAACCAATGCCGAGGTTGGCCAATTGCTGTTTTAAGACGCTCCCCCGAGGCCAAAGCAGGTCACTCATCGATAGCAGTCTACGCATCGCTCTTGTTAGCGGCAATGACGTGTCCTACGTAGAGCAAGATCCATATCAAGGTGCTCCCAGAACCGTCCGTCGTAAGAGCTATGCACAAGGTACCGAACATTCGCTATGGCGAGATCTGTACCAACGAATTTGCGATGATAATCTCAACATGGTCATCCATGTTGGAAATAATCTTCAAGTGGGAGGCAGTGCGAACCGCACCCTCTTTGCTGACATGGTCGACGACGACCTGAACGAACTGGCTGCTTTCCGAGTTATACAACAAGAATATTACAAGTGCTGGACAGAGACCTGGGCCCGTCATGTGCTCGGCTCATGTTCCAATGTGATGATCTTCTCGGAAAGCGATATTGGCAATTTGGTCAAAAACAATATAGAGGATAAGAATCCTCAAAACGATTTGATAGCGCGAGCGACTATGCTTGCATACAGATGCTATCAACAGGCCCTGTGGCATGACCCCCATGATGAGGAACCGATGTACGCCAAGCACATCGAATTGTCGAGATACCTCTCTCTTCTACTGGTCGATTTCACCACTTACCCTACACTTGAGACCGACACTCCCGAGGTTCGAGACCTGTTCCCGCCACAGACATGGAAAGAGATCGAGAAAGCCCTGCCACCGGTGACAAGGTTCGACCCCGAGCAATACAAGGATCACGACCGCTCTAAGGGCCTACCTCCCGGCACCCAGAAGGGCCTTCTGGTCGTCTCCACAGCGACCTTCAGTGACAAGAACAGCATACTACAGGACCCTGAATATCTGCCTGCTGCTACTGCGTTCTTGAATAAATTGTTCGAGTGGAAAACAAGCGACACTAAAAACATGCGCGAAGTCTGCATTGTATCAGCCGCCTCACGTGCCAGCGGCTACGCGTCAGGGTCCTATTTGATTGAGGACTCCTTATCGCATACGTACATCACCGAATTCGCGGTGGCCCCCATGGCGGCCCCGTGCAAGAAACCTGGCGCCCTTCGTGGTCTAGTGTCAAACATCGCAGGGAAACTTACTTCCTCTAGCGTGCTGACCAATGGACCTTTCACCTTCGCGCCAAGGTATATGCACCAAGGAATTCACGGATATGGAGTACTCACATTCGGAGCACTCCTAGGCACCACCACCCGCCAAACTGGCGAAGTCACCAGCGACTCATTCCTCACCGCGTCTCCCGTCTTCTGGGTTGAGACCTTCCAAACTAGAGCCGCTAAAAGACCATTGACACATGAATGGGCATACTTTCAACATAATCTCACCATTGAGAGAACCTCTTGTGAAGACACTTACGTTCCCTGTCCTAACTACAAATGGAGAAAATATCTCGGACTCAACAAGGGGCCTCTCTGTTTCTAATCTTTTTCAACATGAACCACTCAACAGTATTACCTGTTCCAATCCTTTGTAACAGTCGCTTCACTTACGGAGCAGTAGGTGACAGCGCTGACAATCGCTGACCAGTTGTGTTTGGGCGCTGAGAATCGCTGACCAGTTGCATTGGGGGGATCACGAGGGTAATATAAAAATGGACTTGTTCATTTTATGGAGTCCGGATTGTGGACCTGGTTTATTGGAAGCGGCGCGAGAGCTGGAGTATGAGGCGGTGGGTTGGACAGTGTATGTGCAGGAGCCGGGGTTGTTGGCAAAGCGACCGCCTACATTGCCGACCTGGGTCCCGATACGAAGACCATCTGTTCGTCGGCGATTGTTGGACCCTGCGGACCTGGCTACTTTGGACTTGGTGCTGTCGCCACCGGGAACGTCGCCACCGGGAACGTCGTCATCGGGAACGTCGTCATCGGGAACGTCGTCATCGGGAACGTCGTCATCGGGAACGTCGTCGGGACCTTTAGCTTCACCACCAGTGCAATTGCGTCGGTTCCATGCAGTCTTAGCGAGTCCGGGTGAATGGACGCCTGTTCAGGCGTACCTGAAGAAGCAGAAGACGAAAGTTTGGGACTTGGTTAGCGTGTGTGTTTCGAATGAGGCTACATTCACACACTTGGTCAACTTGCCAAGCAACGTCATCGACATTATACAGTTCGATGTGTATGCCGCAGGATTTGTACCTCGTCGTGGCCTTCTGGCTTTAGCTGCGGCCAAAGGCATATACTTCGAAATTTGTCTTGATAAGGCACTCATGAGTGCCAGCATGGCAGCGGACCTTTTCAAAAACGTGCTCGCTGTCACTAGACATCTCCCACGCCAAAATGTCCTCCTCTCTTCTGGCGCTGCAAACCCACTACTCATGCGCGCACCACAAGACCTCTTCGCCATCGCCCAAATCCTCTTCGACAAACACGCCCGCAACATCGTCTACCAGAACCCCTCCCGTTGTTTGCACACTGCTGCCGCACGCAAACTACCCGGCGCCGGCATACTCTTGCCGCCCAAGTAACACAAGACTAAGCCAAGTAAGGGACGGGACCCAACCAAGGGACGGTACCCAACCAAGCAAGCATGGGATAACCTCCTCAAGGATAAAACCTCACGCCACCGGCTAAACGACAGCAAAAATCATCAGCTCATCAATAGACTGGCCGCTGGTCGGCTTCGTAGAGCCGTTCTCCGTAGGCCGGTTCTTTGTCGCTGAACATCTGGCACTAATGTCGTTCTGCAAAGTAGACAGCGAGCAAAGGTAGTAGACCCAGGGCTGTAACCAGACCCCTTCTCTCTTGAGGGCGTCGGACGCCATGCTGTCGGGATACCGGATAATGAACCGCGGTTCCCACTCTGTTGCGTCGGTCGTCGATGTGCGATCATGTGCGAACTCACTATGTCGGCTCTGGACACTGCCGCGGTCTTGGGGGTTTGTGTCCGCCACCGCTAGGTCACTCATCATGGCCGATGCGGTGGGGTACATACCGGCGCCGGGTGCCGTGATGGTCAGGGTTCCCAGGAGCGCCGTGGTCAGGACGACGGTGTTCTCAGATCCGCTGGTCGTGGCCAGAGCGTTCGAAACGGCGGCGTTGGAAACGAAGGCGGGCAGGACGCAGGTGACTTGCGTGGTGCAAATGGCCAGGAGTTTTATCGTCACATATCCTTGCGCTTTTGCATAGTCGAAGTCGGTTCTACAAACTTCAGACACACCCCTTACTAGCGGCACAGTTCGTTGGGTGTAGTCAACGAGTGAGGATGACAGGCCACACTTCCCCCAGGAAGCTTCGCAAGGAGCTCGGCACACGACGTTGGGCGACAAGTTCTGGGACAAGTTCTTGATGATACACAACTTGTACGCTGCGTCCACTCCTTCCAGGTCGAAGCTGGGATCCGCCTCAAGATAGCCGAGGTCCTGCATGTCTTGGATGATAGGCGTCACGAGGTCTTGATCAGAGTTGGTTTGATCACAGTTGGTTTGATCAGAGTTGGTGTGACGTGTTTGTGCTTCACATAGGAGCCAGTTGGTTGACCCGTTTACGATCCCGCAGAAGCTGAGTAGGTCATCCTGCGGTCGCAGAATATGGTTCTGCAGCACTTTGACAAGGGGCATTCCCCCGCAGACGCACGCCTCGATATAAACCCTTCCTTTACTACCGTCTTCAATACAGCTCAAGATATCCATGTAGTGCTCGCTAACCATGGCCTTATTCGCGGTTATATACGTCTTGCCCAATGCCAGAGCCAATCGACATGCATCCCATGGTAAGCCATGTGGCCCGCATGTAGCTTCGAAAACAAATTCCACGTCTTCCACTAACTGCTGCCAGTTATTAATAATGAACAATACCCGTTCTGGAAAAACCAATCATTCACCACCTTTGCAGGGCTCCGGACATACACCTTGATCGGCTCGATACTTGACCCCATTTCGTCGTGCACGTTATCAACATCGTGCTTAACATCGCGCTTAACATCGCGCTTAACATCGTGCCACACACCGAACTCCTTGCGACAAAGAAGACGCACAACACCTTGACCAACTGTGCCGTAGCCCAGCAAGCCATATTTGGACTTGGGTTTGGACTTAAGTTTGGACTTAAGTTTGGATGTCGGCATACTTTTTTGACCCACTCAAAACTCGACAGAAAACGACTTGATGGCGAAATCGTGGAGCATGTCGTCCTAATAAAGGTGTTAGGCAAAGTCGAAGCCAACAGTGTTAGTGACGGCAAGCAGAATTTTTTTTTTCATTGAGTCATGATCATTTCCAAGATCAGGTATCTTAAGAAGATGTATACAAGTGGAAGCTGTGGGAAGATCATTATTGTTTGATGTTGATCCGATACCTGGTACAGGATGAAGTGATTGGAATCCTAGTAGAGGTGGTTTTTCATAAGCGAACATGAATTTGAGTAATTTTGATTTGAAATTATCGCCGTCTGGTCCAATGGATAATTCATGTAGAACACACCAGAATGTCTTGATTGTAGGATGATCCTTGGTGTATGGAATATGATATATAACTACCTCCTGTAATTCCATAATGGACCATGTTGATTTACCTGATATTAGAACACCTAGTTCGTGTGCATTAAACAAACGAATCCAGGTTCGTTGTAAATAACATTGTAGACCTGTAGAAATATAGTGACTTGGTTTATCTAGTGACTTGTTGACAAAGAAGTCAGAAAGGAGCATACAAAAGTATACACCATTCTCCGCTGTAACATATCTATTATGACCATTCTGAATTAAAGGGACCTCTTTAGACAACGTCTTATGAGTTAATGTAGCGGAGTATGTTAGGCCAATATTATCTACTAGAGTAGGATTATTGACATGATTCGTATCTTTGGTACATAGATTTCTTATATGTCCTATACTGTGGTACATTTGAGGGTCTATTGTTTTCAGATCATCAAGTGTATTTCCGTAACCCATGACTCGGTTAAGGAGTACGGGACTCAGTTGAAGTGAAGAGAGGACCATTTGTTCGCATATAGCTTTACCAATTATAAGTCCGCAAAGTTCGAAAAGCACATGTGCAGGTGCTATCATGTATTTTTTAACCTGCAATGCATACTCCTCATAGATAGGGTTAGGTATAAGCTGATGTGATTCGGATTCTGCAAATAGATCGAAATCACTTGTAGCAATTGTACTTGAAAGTATCATCAACCATTCTCGTGTCAATCCACCTGCATCTACTCCACTCTCTACCATTCCAAACTCGTCGACAAACTTTACACCCACACGATTGTTAACTCGTAATGCCTCCATATTCGCCACCGTATCCTCTAACAAGTGGCTTCGACGAATCGTCACAAAATAAGACGGATACCCTAAAGAACTTCCGTGACGATTCACACGATCACGACGCAATATTTCCGACAACAATTTCAAACGCAAATCAAACGATACTGCGTGCGGCAATGCCGACAACTGTGAGACCAATAATCCATACCCACTCGGCATATCAGTCTCTACAACAATCTCCACCTTCTCTCCTAACTCGGGAACCGCCTCCTCCATCTCCACGTCCGCCGCCACCATCTCCACGTCCGCCGCCACCATCTCCACGTCCGCCGCCGTCAAGTCAGGAACCGCAGCCGTGGTTCCAGCCGCCAGTTCTGAACCCTGCAACCGGGGCGCCAACGGCCGTTCCATGGCAGCCAAGTGCATCCAGGTCACCGGAAGTTTCATGCGCCCCAGACGGTGGCTAAGAAGCCGTGCCAGTTCGCAAGAGTCAGAAACCAGGTAGGTGGCCGAACCACGACGGAGTCCGCGCCGCTCCATGTAGCCATGCAGTTGCGTGGTCATTGCCAAGGACACACAGTTAATAAACTGGGCTAACACCTTCAACTGTAACGCACCCGCCAAGGGGAAACCTCGCTGCGCCATGGCCGTCCACACGGACTGCACGGTCGTCTGTGCAAACCCGTGTGGATCTACGGAGCCGTGTGGATCTGCGGAGCCGTGTGGATCTGCGGAGCCGTGTGGTGCGGAGCCGTGTGGATCTCCACGTATATCCAGCAACTCGCTGTCCTCCATGATTAAGAGTCGGCGCGACAGAAACGAGACCAGCACGCGGTACAACAATGCCGCCCTACTTGTGTACTCCGGACACGGACCCAGCCGCGTCACGAACCGTTCAACGAGGCCGGGGACCTGGTCGTTTTTGTCCGGGACGTTTTTCTTCTCCCGGTCGTCATCGTTAGCGTAGTGGTCGGCGAAGAGTGCTTCGCCGAGTTCGGTAAGCAACGTTGGCCAGGCCTGGCGAGTGCTGACTAGCATATCGAAGACGCCTTCGTCAAGGGGCGTCTTGTAGGTGAGGAAGTCGTTGGCGGCTGCGGCCTCGTCTTCATCGTCGTCTCCATCGTCGTCCTGGTCAAGGAAATGGTCGGCAATCTTTTCGAGGAAAGTCCGGGCCGCACCGGCCCGACCTTCATGGGGTGCGTTTGAGCGCTTCCGAGCGAACACAGCGCCTGCCTTGGTCGGGCTAAACATGATCCCGTACTTGCTGGTGCCCGGCTCCGATAATATTTGCCGCACCACCGCCTGTTTGCGCAGACTCTGCACAATCTCTTCACGCTCACTGCCGCCCCAGCGCCACACATGACCTAACACAAGTCGTAGCAGCAAGCACACACACGTGTGTGCTTCCGTCTGCGGAACCCGACATGCCACCTCCGAGATCAATACACAAACGTCTACCAACGCCAACGTACCCACATACACCACCGACTCTCCGCCGCTCAACTCTTGCCGCACACCCACCGGCGGTACGTAACTCCACAGGCGCCGCAACGGGTGTGTGTCCTCCGTATACCCGTTATTCGCCTCTTGTAACACACTTGCCGCAGCCATCCTCAAACGGCCCATGCTCGGACCGCCCACTCTCTGGCCGGTGACCTTCGGGTCAGGCGCCTTCGGGTCAGGTGCCTTCGGGTCAGGTGCCTTCGGGTCAGGTGCCTTCGGGTCAGGCGCCTTCGGGTCAGGTGCCTTCGGGTCAGGTGCCTTCGGGTCAGGTGCCTTCGGGTCGGGGTTCGGTCGCAACACGAGAGCCATCGCCAGCCACAAGACCGTCCAGAAGTCCTCGTCAACGACGTCCACCATGAACTGGCCATATCCCGGTCGTCGACACAACACACCTTCCGCCACGGTCTTCACCACCAGACCGTCGTAGCAAGTGTTGAACGAACACGCAACCTGCCGCACAGCAGCCAGCTGTGCAACCCTCTGCTGGGCAAGCGCCTCCGGTTCAAGAGGCTGAGCAATACGGTCCAAGCACTGAACCGTCCAAGCGTGCAGCCGGGCATCTGGCCGTCCAACACATTGGGAGGCGAGAGTGAGGAATTTGAGCGTCGTTGAAGGTTGCAAAATTCCGTCATGTGGTTCTGCTGGATTGGCGAGAACAAGTTGTTTCGGTAAGAGGTTCAGGATGGCCTGAATCAATTGTGCCCAGCACGGTGGCAGGAGACGGAAACTGTTTTGTACGTTGACGGACGGGCGGTGGGCGGAGACCCAGTTCTGGACGACTTCGGTCATGACCCAGTAGGATCGTTGTCTTGGCGGCGCCTTTCCGGTGCGTAGGAGGGCGGCTAACACGTCCGCCTTGTCATTCCCACAGTCGGTGGATCGAATCCGGCTAAAGTCATTCTCTCGGTAGTACAATAGACTTAGTGGATAAAAAGTGGCAAATAAAACCACCCAGTTGATCCAAGTCCTCGCCTCTTCAGCCCCTTCCTTGTCCAGAAACTGGACCCCTAATTGCGGTCCTTGAACTAACCCCGGCCCTCCGGTTTTGAGCACGAGATCAACACAACGTTGTTGACACAGGAATCGTCTACAATGGCTTTGGATTATTCGTGCAGCCAACTCCAATTCCCGTAATCGGCGTTGACGCTTGCGGGTCGCATCTAGCTGACCCGTAAAACTATTCAATGACAGTCCGGGCACTGTCAACTCTACATCCAAGTCACCTTGCATTTAAAAATCATACCCAACAACTCACAACCCAACGACCCATGGTTCAACCCCCACCTCGACCACATCGGGCATGGAAGATCCAACGGGGTTGCAACATGCTGGCTAAAAAAACATACTAACGATACGCAGCATGTCGCGGTGGTATGTCGGGCGAGATCGAGAGCTAGATCTATCCGAATTCTTCTGACCCAGGACTTTTGTATCAAAATCCATTTCTGGACTTCAAAATCCATCCCTGGAGTTCCATCCCCGGATTTATATTCGGGACTATACCCAGGACCCTCTGCCTTAGGACTTCTGTCTCGCGACTTCTTCCTGGGGACTTCAATAGTAGCTGCTTTGGGGTGTGGTATATTTGGCTGAAATGTAGTCGGACTCTGACACCGCCGGGTCACCGTTCGTTACTTCCGAAACGGTGGACTGGGGCGCAGTACTTGGTGGGCTTCGAGACGGAGCCGGGACGGGTGCAGCGTGTTGCGCCGATTGCTTGTCTATAATGGGTGAGTATATTGCCATCACACACATCGGTGTGGTACGATCGGTGTGGTACGATCGATCGGTGTGTGCGTGTGCTGTGCGATCGAACACGTGTTTTAGGTTACTTTTTTTCTTATTATTTGCTCGGTTAGTCTTATAGTGTATTTGCATGCCGTCGGGAGTGGACAATGAGGCGGATGGGTCTTTCTGTTGCTTGAATAGTTGTTGATATCGTTCATAGACTTGGGCGGCATATTCTGCGACGAGTTGGTCTCCTTCTGGGCTTCGAGCTTTCTGACACATGTTGCAACGGAATCGTCTGGGGAAGTTGACGTTTCCGCAATCTTGACATTCCCAGTTGCCGTTGCGGTCTTTCTTGGGTAGTGGTCCCAGACGTGAAAAGCAAAGTGGGTCTCCGTAGATCTTGAGGAATGTGGATGGGTTTTTAAACTCGTCTGGATGTACCAGTTTAACTCCAGAAAAGGCCGCCGCGGCATCTGTTATTCCCGCGTTCGAAACTCCTCGACCGGCACTGCTTCCATTACCACCTCTCTCATTTGCGACTGCCGGTGGTGGTGCGTGGCCCAGGATCTCAAGCCCAGCCTTGAACACTTCCGCAGCCACTAGCGGGTCAGACTCCATGATGAGTTGTTGCGTCACATCTTTCGCGCGCATTATTATCAACTCGCGATCGGAATGGACGTGCTCAGCAGTTAATGCAGTCGGCGAACTGACCTCCATCGGCTGCGGTGTAAGATAGCCCACCGCCAGAGGGTCCGCCACACGCAGATAGTTTCCTCTCCAATCAGGTGAAGTCAGCACGTAGCCTTGAACCGGCGACCTCAGGAAGTGGGGTGAAGGCGGATGAAAACCTCCACCCCCTGGTGAAGGTGGCGCCATGTATAAGTGAACATTTCCGTGCGATACCCCTTCCATAACTATAATTTATGACGCTTCGCCACAACCAATTCCTCAAGTTAGCCCCCACCTACCTACCTACCTACCCACCACCCACCTACCTACCCACCACCCACCTACCTACCTACCTACCCACCCACCTACCTACCTACCTACCCACCACCCACCTACCTACCCACCACCTACCTACCTACCACCCACCTACCTACCTACCTACCCACCACCCACCTACCTACCTACCCACCCACCACTACCTACCCACCCACCACTACCCACCACCATCATTACTGCACCAACTTGTAGATATAGACGATGCTTATTTGATGAAGCGTGCATAAATTCTTGGCCGGATCATGATGAGAACCGTTCTTTATTTCTTCGAGGATCTTTGACCGAACATGTTCCCGATTGTGTGCGCAAGAAAATGTCTAGATTGACCGAAGAAGCGGAATGGACCGAACAGGCGAAATGGTGTAAAGGAGGTTGGGTAATCATGTTCCTTCTTATTAGTCCATACATTACAATGCCTCACTTTTACGTTTTATTCAACAATCGAATTTTCGGACTACTACTGGTGTTATTTTCTAACTACTTTATATCATTGCCATTGCTCAGATTTGCCATAATTCAGGGTCAACTTAAACAAGGGACTGTTATTGTAAGCCTTTCACGCAGCATCACCGTGATCTATGCAGACTTTGCTGTATAGTAGAGAACATGGATGGGTAAGTCCCGAATGATGCAAGGCTTAGCTCTTCTGGCGGGAATAATCACTGTCATCAAGGGCATAATGGTAATATTACGCGGCGTTATGTCTATATCCAGTTTGTACTTTGCTCCACAATCTGATTGCAATTGGTTTATGCCCGAGGCAGCACGATTTGCTTGCAGCCGAAAAACCATCGATCAATGCCTATCCTTACCTTGGTGTATTATCGCTGATAATAAATGCGCTACGAACACAATATACTACTCCCAGTATTACTTCCAAGAGAAGGTTCTCAGACTCATCAATCCGCCAGCTAAAATGTACATTGGAGGAGAACACATTGGAGGAGAATACATTGGAGGAGAACACATTGGAGGAGAACACATTGGAGGAGAACACATTGGAGGAGAATCTGATCCTAGTAATTCGCTCTTCCCCCGCGACAGCCACCAGGCAGCATTCGTCGGTGGAACACTCTACCCAGGAGATATCGACGAGGAACCTGGTGATGAACTCTGTCTTGATCCCGCATTTGCTCAATACATTCCTATTGACGATGTCGACATAGACTGTTTTGATGTACCCCAGAACGCCACAGGGGAGGCAGGACAAGAGAAAGCAAACCTGAACGGAGGGGCACAATGGAAAAAAGAAAGACGTGAGACAAGAGGACATAAGACAAGAGAACATGAGACAGGGGAAAAAGAGAAGACCGTGGCTGGCTCGTGTCACGAAGGCATAACAAGATTTCCTTTGACGATGGTTTCGGTTAAAGATTTCTTCCATTGCGATGATTACGGGGAGTCTCCTAGGCGACGTTTAATGTCCAACCCCCCTGACCGTACTTTGCTACCCGTACTTTGGGACCAGTTTGAACGCTACGAGCCACTTGAAGGGAACGAGCAAACTAAGCGCGAAATGTCCCTTGATTTTTTGGTCGACCCAATTGGGTCTTTGATGACCGAGCCCGGTCCCGCTTCCTGGGCTGCGAAGTCCCTGCTCGATACTGCTCGCCAAAGAGACTCCCGTGAAAAGGACTCCAGAACAGGGGATTGGCGAGCAAACAACTGCAGATGTGGCGGTCGTGACGCCGGTCGTGACGCCGGTCGTGACGCCGGTCGTGACGCCGGTCGTGACGCCGGTCGTGACTCCGGTCGTGACTCCGGTCGCGACTCCGGTGGTGACTCCGGTCGTGACTCCGGTCGTGACTCCGGTCGTGACTCCGGTCGTGACTCCGGTCGCGACTCCGGTCGTGACTCCGGTCGTGACTCCGGTCGTGACTCCGGTCGTGGACCTAATGGAGAACTCGGTTGGAATGAGTGTGTAGGGGGGAACGAGTGTGAAGAAAGTAAGGTTCAATCCAGCAAGGTGGGCAAGGTCAGAGGAAACAAGGTCGCCGGGGTCAAACCCTTGGCAGCAGAGGTCAACAACATCGGGTTTGCCGGTCGCAGTTATCGTGTAGTCCCGGAGGACAGGAAAGACCATGTGGATTGGAACGACTTAGGCCGTGGGGAGAGGCGTACAACTGCAGCTTCAGGGGTTACAGTTCCGGCATCAGGGACTACAGTTCGACAGGCGACAGTGACGGGTCGCTTCAATTGGAGGTTGGTGATGTTCTTGATACCACATTTATTGTTGACGTTGATGTGTGTGAAGTGTGGTTCGCGCGTGGAGGTTTTGTGCAAGTGGGCTATCCTATCGTTCTCTTTGGTACTCGTGGTCTTGATAGCATCGTCAATTCGTTTGAGCACACACACACGTATGACGAGTGCGATGGGTCACGCACCATTTTCTACGGACTGGAACTTCGCTGACCTTTTACGAATGCTTGTACCCGCCGTCTCCGATTCTTTCGTGGCTACCAACCTACCGTTTTTTACTGGGAGTCGTTTCGAAGCGCGTCATGATGTCGGTAGTTCCGACGTGTCCGGCTCCGAGATGTTTACAGAAGAGACACGTTCGAAGGACCGCCGGCGTTGTCTCGGGAAATACCTGTGGTCGGAAGACAGGCCAAGAGGGCCGGAGCTGTGGGAAAACAAGCAGCCCCATTGCCGGTTTCGAAGAGGGCAGTCACGCTCCGTCGAGTTGACCACATTGGCAGGCCGGGGCGCGTTGTTGTTCGTGACGCTGGCCATGACAGCCTGGTCTGTGAGCTTTTCATCCATCATCACCACAGAGCGGCGAAAGGCCGCTCGGTCCCCGGCCCTCGGGTATGAATCATTTTCCTTTTCCATGATCGCCAGTGACTTCGTCCACACTATCACTATCTACGCCGCATCCAATAGCATCTACGCTCGCCAGGGGCTCATGGTTACCTACTTCTTTTCTGCCACATTCGTACAAACTGTTCTCACTAGCCTCTTCTGTTGGTCCATTGGCTCCTGGCTCGAAGAATGGCTCAAAGGCTTCTGGACTGAACGAACCAGCAGACGCCTCGCCTATGGTGCTGCCGTCGCACTCCATGCAGCCGCCGTTGTCATCGGCGTTACAGATCCCAAAGCCGTGCCCCTAATCCTCCTCCTCCAGGTCGAACGCATGCTCGACTACTTCCTCTCGCCTCTCATCATCCTCTACGCCCTCGTCGTCGTACGCAATCACTCCACACCACCCACCTACTACGTACGCCCACAGGCCGACACACACGTGGGAACACTCACACACACGTGGACACACTCACACACTTGCGTCCGTTGTAGTTTTGCGTTCGGGACGGCGGTTTGCTGTCAGTACACTCGATGGTGACATACTGTGTACCATTCTGCATCATGGTGGGAGCTTTCGTGTGGGCAGCGTTGAGTGCGGAGAGGAAGGGGGTAGCTTGCACTGCGATTGTTGGTGGTTCAGTGGCCTTAGGTTTATCATTGCCGTTAGTTCACTGGTTGGTTTACCGTACCCGTCCGCCGCCAGCGACAACTTCATTGGATCGGCTGCGACGACAGTACAACGCCGTGCTTACAGCATACACCCGCAAGTACTTCCAATACCCGGTCGCGAAGACAAAGGCACAGGCGCCACTCTTCAGCCCCGACTCAATAGCCCCTGACCCCTTTCCAGGATACTACTCCTCCCTCGCACACGCCTCCGCAGGAACCACTATGCACCACATCTCCAGCGCCTCCAGCCCCGCCGCCTACGGACACACCTACGCTTCAACCTACACTGCCTCCTACGCCCATGCAGCAACTCACGCACACGCAGCCTCCTACGCTCGCACCTTCGGCGCGCCCTACGCCCACACTGCTACGTCCTATGCCCAAACTGGCGGTGCGGCGCACGGCGTGACACTAACCAACTCACTCCACGCTCCAGTCTACCCCGGTCCAGTCTCTGCCGGTTCCGGCTCCGCCTATGCCGGGCCCGGCTGTGCCGGTTCCGCCTATGCCGGGCCCGGCTGTGCCGGTTCCGCCGTCACCGGTTCCGCTGCCGGTCCCGCCTACAACGGTCCGAGAACGCTGCCTTCAACGGTGCAGGAGGCGGTGAGCAGTCAGACAAGCCGAACGAGTCCGCAAACGGGTTCGTATAGCTTCAAGACAGGTTCGTACGTCACGGGCGACTCGTATGTGGCGGATCTGTTGCCGGGTGGCCGAAGTGTGCATTACGGCGTGACAGAGGGAAACCGGGCCGCCAGTGGGGCTCGGGGAGGCGATTGGTCCCCGCGGCGGTGGTCGGAATCGGCGGCCGGATGTTCAGGGTCGCGCGGTCAGCCGGACGGCGGGCAACTGAGATCGTCCCGGTCCCCAATAATATCCCGGTCACCGACGGACGGGATATCCCGGTCACCGACAGGAAATAACTCATTTTACTCTATCATGACATTGAAGGGCGTGGAAGACCCTCCGGAAGCGGTGTATGAGGACGAGTGCTATGATGACCTCGCTTGGTCAACGCACAAATTAACACGACTCAATTTCTCGCACCCCCTACAGTTGTTCGTGCCCTCCGTCTGCGTCTTCCAACTTGTCGATCTATTCTACAACCAACGCAGACACATGGTCGATAGTCTGGCCAACATGATGGACTCCATCCGCTACTTCCTCAACCATGAAGGCTACACACTGACCAGCATTCTTGAACCCACCGATCAGATATTCAATAGCGATCAGACCTTGGACCAAGTACTTAACTCTGACAAGATACTCCTCAAGTCCGACTCTCCCCAGATATTTAACTTCCAACGATTTCAAGGTCTCAGCCATGTCTTCGGCACCCTCTGGTTCTCCGGTCCCTCCGTCAACCTCCGACAAATTACATCTAGCACCATCGTGCTCGTAGGGGCCATCTCCTTCGCCGTAATCATCGCCGTCCTCGCCGTCTTCGGCAATTGGTACAGGCCCGCCCTCTATTGGCGTTCCCGCTCCGTCCAGTCCGAATTCACGCTCGCTCCCCTGCGCTGGGGCGCTGTCCCCCTCTCGCTTCTAGATTGGTTCTATCGAGGACCCCGCGACCTCTGGGAAATATCGCAGAAGTCGCGCCTTCACGAACAGTACTGACAAACAGTACTGACAAACAGTATTGATATATAGTATTGACTTCAGAGTGGTGGCGAGTGTGCTCTGGAGAGTGATCGGGCTGGAGGAGTGATCAGGCTGGAGGAGTGGTCAGGTTGGAGGAGTGGTCAGGCTGGAGGAGTGGTCAGGTTGGAGGAGTGGTCAGGCTGGAGGAGTGGTCAGGCTGGAGGAGTGGTGATGGGGTTGACATGGACATGGAGACACTGGTCTCGTCTGGAGTAGCCCTAGTCCACGAGGTCGTGTTCATGGGCGGAGACACTGGGTTCAGCCAGACACGGGGGTGGAGCCGGGCACGGAGGTTGAACTGTGGGTGTGGTTTTTTTTGTGAGATAGAGATCGGTTCCTTGCCCGAGAGTGGGTATCTGAAAGGAGAGAGGGTCTTGTGGTTGTCGTGCAGGGTTGTGTTTTTGTTTGATGAATTTATCGCTAAGGCGAGCGGTTGCCTATCGCAAGAGTTTGTTCAACTGGTCATTGGAGTACAGCCAGTTGGATGCGCATAGTTCGGCGTTTATGGGTCCTGCCCCGACGGATCCAGGGGGTAAGGAAACGGCGGCTTCTGAGGTGAATTTGGAGTCGCTTCGTGACTTGTTTCGGATTGATGGTCAGAGTGCGGAAAAATGGTCTAGTATAATGGGTGGTTGTATCGTAATGATGTTTATAGTAGGCATGGATCAGACCTACAGCATTCAATATCCATTGATGCTAGCCGGTGGCAGTGGTCTGGTTGTGTGGTTCGGTCTGTTGATTTCACTCGCCTTGTTTGTGGTGCCTGTATGCACGTTTGCCCTAATGGAGGGGGTGATCCTGCAAGGTACTCTCGGTCGTCTACGGCATCCGCTGCGCTGCCTTATGACGTACTTGGCTTTCGGTGTATCCTTGCTCGCCATTCCTCGCGAACTACTGCGACTGGGCGTGTCTGTATCGTACTTGCTCACCGCTTTCAGACAGGAAAGCCCTTGGGAACTCAGCGATATGGAACGTGTCGGATGTGCCGCTATCTCTGACCCTCTCGAATGCGTAAGCAGTCCACGATGCGCCTTTGTGGATTTGCAGTGCATCTCTGACCCGATTGGCTATGCCCAAATTTACCTCCAAAAAGACGTCCTTCAACTACACGACGCAGCCGGCTATAACTGGCAACTCCTATTGATGTCCGTGGTTCCTTTTGTCCTCGTCACGTTTCTCCTTATCAACACCACCAAGCGGATCGAACGGGCCACGTGTGTCTGTCTCATCACACACTTGCTCGTCGCACTGATCTTTCTCGGACAAGTCACCAAGAGCGACTACATGGTCGCCTTCAAGACCACCTTCTACCCAGGCTCTTGGCAAAGGATGCTCGACATCAAGCGCTGGGTGTTCGCTGCCATGCCCGGCGTACGAACCATCATGTACGGCTCCAACTTGTTCTACTACATCGGGTCCAAATTCCAGCCACTCACCCGGAAAACACGTCGAGTCCCCATCACCACACTCGTGGCGGCCGTCCTCGTAGCTGCGGGTTCCACCTTCATCTGGGTCTTGTTAGACCAACACGTGATCGAGAAACACATCCAGCTGGAACGGGACATTTCCATGTTGGACCCATTCATTCAGCTGAGGAGCACAGACCAGTTCTCCATAGCCAAAGCGCCTCTCACCGTTGCGACCACACACCTGGCCGAGTACATCGCCTATCCCGTCGCGCTCACCAGCACCTACGCGGCCAATGGCATGGGCCTCGTTATCTTCACCAACCTCGCACTCAGACACGCCATCATGGCGCTACTCCACTGCAGAGCCGTGGCCGCGCTGCTCCAAGAACTGCGCGTGGGGTACTACACAAATATCACCAAGCCCCTGAGCGCCGTCGTCGGGGTCGCCGTCGTCATACAGGCCCTCAGCTGCATCATCAACGGCCTGTGGTCTGGCCCGCTGCTACTGCTAGAAGGCATTAGGGGCGTCTGCCATATCATGGAACCAGCGCTCTACGGCATCGCTACAGTCGCCTATACTCTGTGGCACCGCGACCTCACGTTCTCCCACCGCATCGCGCTCGCAGCCAAACCGCTACTAAAAAACACCAAAACAAGAGCCTCGCATGACGCACCCCGCTACAGCCTCGCGGACGCGTCCCACAGTCCAAAGATGGCCCGCTCCAGCGAATTGCGGCGGGGGCTCCCGGAATATGCGCTTCCTAATGTTAGTGCACACGCGTGTGCGCGCTCACCAAAAAAATTACTAGATAATGTCGGGGATCACCCATACTCGACTGTTTGGACTAAACGATACATTCTGGGTCAGTTCATACCTCAGCTAATATGGATGATGGGGGTAATCTCCTTGTTGTTTTGCCCCTTCTATGAAGGCGATGCGAAATTGACCGGGATATCACCCGAAAGCACCTCGGCCGTGCCCTACCTCTACAATGGTGGGGGACTGATTCTGTCGTTCGGGTTGCTCATTCTTGGCCCATTGTGGCGGTGCACTATAGTTAGATATCTTAGAGCCCGTCTTTGCAAGACGACTGGCTACTGCTCTGCCCATCCGAACATGTGCACCCGAAGCACTGTATTCGGCCCCTGGCGACGCCTGAGGTGTCTCTCCTACCCGAGTGAGAAGCCGAACGGCAGTTCCAAACTAGATCTGAACAGGCTGCACTGTGGACTGTGTCCAAGCCACACGGAACTTTATGTCCATACGCACCCTGAGGACCCTGCAGACGTTGCATCGGCATTGAAGGATTCTTCCGGCGGCAACCCAGAAGACTCGCCCAAGCCTGACCCGACTCTGAAGGACCCTCCGATGGACTCTACTCCGATGGACCCTACTGCGAAGGACCAAGACGGTAGCCGCCAAGAGGGGAGCCGGAAACAGGACACGGTACCAGGTCAGCGGGAATGTCTGGCGTGTAATTATGAACAAGAGCAGATGGGTTTTGACTGTTACCGGACGCAGGTGAACCAGATCTTGGGAGTGGAGCCTGGGAGTGGTCGGTTGACGAAGGTTCTGTTTTCGGCTCCGTTACAGTGGTTAGTACCCGGCATCTGTTTGTATCAAGTGCTCACCACTCTCCTGGAGAACCACATAGACGCGGTCCCTTCTCTGGATACCATGTTGAACTCAACCAGGGTGTACATCGACGACACTTTGGTGGATATTCTCAGGGTTCATAACGAAGGGGACGACAGTACAAGGAAGACAATGCGGTTCTTCGGTAGTGGCATTGCTCCCACGACTCACATGGCTGTATACCGCGATGCTATCGCATATACTGTGGCCATTGTGGCCGTGTTCGGTCTAATACTAACGAGTCTGTACGCAATTTACAAGCCTCACTTTTCGAGACTTTTCTCAAAGTTAAAGAAAGGCTCTGCAAATACGGTTCCAGATGTGGTGGATCCAACGACTATGAATCCGATGGCTGTGAATCCTGCGACTGCTGTTATGAGGCAAGGAGAGGAAATCATATCCGGACAGCCCCGAAGCACACCCGTCTTGGTGGCTCCAGCTATGCAACCAGATTTCGGCGACGCAGGTCTTTATGACTGGGATATCAAGTCCATCGTTCTGGCCAAGAGTGAGACCCAAACGCATTTGCCTCTAAGCTTGCGCAGGTTCCGAATATCTCTCGCTGAATACTTCGCTTACTCTCCCAAAGAGTTATGGGCTAAATCCTTCGCTGTTAAGATTTCCAGAATTTATTAACTACCACTGACTCAAAGGCATGAACGGGGATAAGGCATGAAAGGGGATAAGGCATGAAAGGGGATAAGGCATGAAAGGGACGATTGAGTGAGGCGGTACACCTCTTTGAGATCGGCGCTTAGGGCCAGGCTGTGAAGGGGGGAGTTAATTCTGTTGGGGAGGTGGTGCTGCCGGGGAGGTAATACTGCTGGGGAGGTGATGCTGCCGGGGAGGTAATACTGCTGGGGAGGGTAAAATAGTGGGGTGATTTTTGCAGGGGCCTTAAATGAATGAAGTGGCCAGTCAGTATCCTTACCGGGAACGGAGAAATAAGGGGTTAAAGTTCGGTCAAATTAGGCCGGAGGATGAGGACAGACAAGACAATGTTGAGAACTTCTTGACACAGTAAGAAGTTGTACACATTTGTGTTTGAACACACATACTTGGACACATTTTGTGTTTGAATATGGACACACTTGTGTTTGAACACACATACTTGGACACATTTTGTGTTTGAATATGGACACATTTGTGTTTGAACACACATACTTGGACACATTTTGTGTTTGAATATGGACACATTTGTGTTTGAACACACATACTTGGACACATTTTGTGTTTGAATATGGACACACTTGTGTTTGAATATGGACACACTTGTGTTTGAATATAGGAATATGCAGCCGAGGGAGAAGACTAATGTAGATCGTGAAATAATAAAGGCTGGATTACGAGGGAATCTTGTGTGTTCAAGTTTGAAGGGTACGGAGATTCAGGCGTTGACAGAAGCTATGTTGTTTTATGTATTTCATGAAGGTGATTTGGTATGTCAGCAAAATGCTTTAGGTAGTCATTTCTTTATTATTCATTCTGGTGAGTTCGACGTTGTAATTGATGGTAAGACGGTTAATAAGATGCGTAATGGACGAGCGTTTGGTGAGATAGCATTGATTCATAATACACAGCGTAGTGCAACAGTACGTTGTGTTAAGGATGGTGCATTATGGGCGGTACAGCGTTCTACGTTTCGTAACATATTGAAGCAATTGTCAAGTCGTAACTTTGCTGAAAATCGCGCGTTTCTGGAGAGTGTAAAAATATTTGAGATGCTTACAGATGGTCAAAAAAGGATGATTGCTAATGCTTTAGTTGTTGAGAGCTTCGAAAATAAGGAGGTTATTGTTAATAAAGGGGATAAGGGTGATGTTTTATACATTATTAAAGATGGTAAAGGACAAGTATGGATTGATCGTGAAATGGTTCGTGAATTACAGAAGGGTGATTATTTTGGTGAACGAGCGCTGTTATATGAAGAACCTCGTTCAGCAACAATTGTAGCTTCAGGACCAACGGTTTGTGTAACAATCGGTCGTGATATGTTGCAGAAAGTGTTGGGTAATTTACAACATGTACTTTTCCGTAATGTGATGCTTATCTGTCTTCAATCCAGTACTGTATTCCAGCAATTTACTAAAGAACAACTAGGCGCTTTGATAGAGGCAGCGGTAGTTAAAGATTATCCTGAAAATTATACTATACTTGACAAGGAAACACGTAGTCGTGGTGTACGATTCTTCATGCTGTTGGAAGGTGAAGTCCTTGTCAGTTTAAATGGCAAAAAAGTAGCGCGGTTAAGTCGTGGTGATTCATTTGGTGAAGATTATGTAATGAGACCAAAAAAATTATTTGAACATCGTGTTGATTCTATAACGGATTGTAAGATAGCATTACTTACATCTACATCAATATCATCAACTCTTGGTAGTAATGATATTGATGCTACGATAGAAAGTAATCATAAACGATCTATTATTCTTAAAATGTATATATTCCGTTATCTATCTGAATTACAAGTTGAATTACTTATAAACGCATTTAAAGAAGTCATCTATAATCAAGGTGATAATATAGTTATTGAAGGTGAGATGGGAAGTACATTTTACATAATAAAGAATGGAGAAGTTGTTATTACTCAGAATAATAAGCGTTTGCGAACACTTAATAAACATGATTATTTTGGTGAACGTGCATTACTATATGATGAGCCAAGATCTGCTACAGTTACATGTTTATCACATCAAGCTGAATTATGGGTGGTTGATAAATCTGTGTTTCTACAAATAATAGAAGGTCCTATGCTTATTCATTTAGAAGAGCGTATTCGTTTGCAGGACACAAAAGTACAATTTAATGATTTACAAGTAATACAGACTGTAGGTAGAGGTACATTTGGTGTTGTGAAGAAAGTGAAGCATAAAATTACTGGAACAAGATTCGCTTTAAAATGTGTGTTACGTAAAGTAATAATTCAATTAAATCAACAAGAACATATATGTCTTGAACGTGAGATTATGGCTGAGAATGATCATCCATTTATTCTAAAACTTGTGCGAACATTTAAAGATCATCAATACCTGTATTTCTTAACTGAATTATGTACCGGTGGTGAATTATATAATGCAATACGAAAACTTGGTTTATTAAGTAGACCTCAAGCACAGTTTTATTTGGCATCTATTATTGTTGCTATGGAATATTTACATGAGCGTAATATTGCATATAGAGATTTGAAACCTGAGAATGTTCTTCTTGATAATCAAGGATATTCTAAACTTATAGATTTTGGATGCGCTAAAAAAATCAAGGAACGCACTTATACTCTTGTAGGAACACCTCATTATATGGCTCCTGAAGTAGTCCTAGGTAAAGGATATACATTAACTGCTGATATATGGACATTTGGTATTGTCTTATATGAGTTTATATGCGGACCTTTACCATTTGGTAATGATGCTGAAGATCAATTAGAAATATTCAGAGATATCCTAACAGGTAAACTTGTATTCCCACCATACGTTGATGATCAAGCTGCTATGGGACTTATTAGAAGACTATTATGCAGACTACCTGAATTAAGATTAGGCTGCTCACTCAACGGATATAAAGATTTAAAGGAACATGCATTCTTCGCTGACTTCAATTGGGACAAACTCATGGGACGCGCACTCACACCTCCTCTCGTACCACAAGGAGAGGTATACGCCGAAGATATGACCGATGAACAAGAACAAGATGAACAACCTGACTTCACAAATGACCCCAATAACCCTGCTGAACAACTTCAAGAAGAATATGAATGGGACCGCGATTTTTAAAATAACATGGCGTACCCACTTATAAGTACGATACCACACAGGGCAGGGCAGTGTCTGGTGGCACACACACGGCAGGGCAGGGCAGTGTTGGTGACACAGAAGAGTGCAGTGTGTCGTGGGCACACACAGGGCAGGGTGCAGTGTGTGGTGGCACACAGGTCAAAATGTCTGTTTAGGATGTAGTAAAGATGTCTGTTATTTCCTTATAAAGTCATTCCAAGTGGATCACATAGAGATATCACAGCGTCATGGTGTATGGGCGACTACATCTCGTAATGAGAAGACTTTAAGTCAGAGTTTCCGGACGCATCGATATGTAGTTTTGGTGTTCAGTGTAAATGGGTCTGGTAAATTCTATGGCTATGGAATCATGACTAGTGAGCCAGGGAAGGCTTCAGGAGCATATTTTGGTCGTGGCGGATTTAATGGAAAACTGTTCAATTTAGAATGGATAAGTAAATTGGAGTTACCATTTCGTTTGTTCGATAACCTTACAAATAGTTTGAATGATTACAAGCAAGTAAAAGTAGGTCGTGATGGACAACCGTTGTCGTTAGAATGTGGTCATCAACTACTAGATATATACCAACAAGTTATTGAGGAACAAAATTCTGTTGGTCAAATATCTGTTGGTCACTCTAATGTTAAAGAACCTTCTTCTTGCGGTGTTGCTGGTGCCTGGATGTTACCTGAAACACCTGCTTGTGACTGGAATAGTATTGTCCTTGTTGCAAATCCATTGCTAGCTATATACCCTTTAGACTTAACCAAATTCAACTATACTGGATACTTAGAAGCATATGAAGCATCACAAGACTACTTACAAAATAATAATATGCCTCCCCCACCTATCTCCAACTATACCGACTGGTCCGCTCAGGCACCCGAACATTTCATGCAGCTACTCATGAACTCCCAGCATAAAATTACCTAGTGTGTCGGTCGGCTAACCTGTTCTCCTTTGCCAGCGAATGTTAAATATAGTACACCCTGGTTAAGTACCCTGGTCAAGTACCTACCTTGGTTAAGTACCCTGGTTAAGTACCCTGGTCAAGTACCTACCTTGGTTAAGCACCTTGGTTAAGTACCCTAGTTAATGTAGTGTCCTGATTAATATAGCACCATTTTGGTCTAGAGAATAGCAGCAAAATCCACCAAGGTTTTGGCTTGGTTCGCGGGGAATTACTATTCTGAATTGCCGCGGTACAGACCGATGCCTCGTGAGGTCTCGTTTAGAGTGAAGACCGCTCCGGCTAACCCTGCCACACCGATGGTTGCCAAGTTCGAATCAAGCCGACCCCATCCTGGCCTTACTCTTTTGCCACATTGGCTCCGCTATCTATACTCCATCCTTGTCATTGCCATGTCCGCTGTTGACATTGCCTTTGTTATCATGCCTGGAGAGATATTCTACGCCGTCATGCGCATCGTCTTTACCCTATTCCTACATCCCCTAGAACCCCGCACTGAAATTGGAATAGGTAACAATCGAAACCATCCACTATGCCCAATCGAAACCCTTTACGCCCTTCCACTATGCCCATCCACTATGCCCATCCACTATGCCCATTAGGAATACTGGCGGATATCGTCTATGGCGTCGTTTACATTGTCTGGGGCTTCACCAAGCCCATTGAGTTAAATAGCGCTATTACATACCTGAAGGAGAGGCAGTTAACACTATGTATTGTCACGGCATGTTTGCACTTCGGAGTAGCCGTCATCGGGCTTTGTTTCCGATTCTACGATGGATACCTGCTGAGACAGCGGAAGAAACATAATGCCCGATTGTATCAGGCTTACGACATGACTCAGATTTAGTTTGCGAAAGCGTGTGCACACACGCTGGAGGTTATTATCATTGCTATTGTATTTCCATAGTCTGAAAAGCGTGGCTGAAAAGCGTGGCTGAAAAGCGTGGCTGAAAAGATCTTCTGTAAATACTGCCAGGACCAGCCCATCCGGCAAGTATGACAAGGGGCCGGTCAAGTAGAGTTAGGCGGCTAGGTTCGTCTGCGTTAGGTTGGTCTTCATCAGGTTCGTCTGCGTTTTGTTATTGGAGTGTTTTTGCTAGAATACAAACGGCACCGCTGTTCAGCGATGCTCACTGGAGCTTGTGGTGGTCACTGCTAGCTGGTCGAGAATTATGTCGAGGCAGTGTGGGTGGTCACGAAGAGGCGGGATGGAACGGAAGAAAAGCGCGAGAAGGAAAGCACCAGGAGGAAGGGCAGTTCACTTCCGGAGGAAGGAGATTGAGAGAAGAGACGGAGGTTACATGAAGTGGACGGATAGGAGACGAGACGCAACTTTGGCGTTGAGGAAGACATGGTCAGCGACGGGGATTGTTCCAATGCACACGCGAAGAGACCGAGGAAAGGAGAGACCGAGGAAAGAGGACCGGAGAATTTAACTTTGACGTTAAGGGACACACTGTGCTTGTTCTTGAGAAGCGATAGGTAAGCGGCTTATTCTTTTCTGAATAACGAGCGCAAAGGGAAGCAGACGGATGGAGTCGGGTAATGTTGGCGGGATGGAAACACCGCTAACAGGAAACGCATGGTCGTCCGGGTAGGGTTCGTCTCCACCGGGCTCGTCTGCATTGGTCCGGGGGGGG